TTATGCGAAAGTATAATCTATATTCACCTACGTGAAAATGAAATTGGCAATTTTTCACCTAAACGCTCTTATGTTTGATTGGCTAATTTTCAATTTCAAAATATTTTCATATACCTCGTTCTTTTAATGATAAAGGTGAATTTAAATAAATAAATAAAAGCAGCAACCTTCTGTTAGATATTAATTTATAAACTTATAAATAAATGAATGAATAAATAAATAAATATATTATATATAAGTCATTGAGCATTATTAACGGTCACGTAAATGTTGGTTCACTTTCAAAATCAGATCCGAATGTTGGTATAGGACTTTTAGGAGCACTGGCCTGTGGAAACTTCAAATGAGAATTGATGAACAAAGTGGTAAAATAATTTATTTGAAATTTAAAACATTTGGATGCGGTTCTACTATGGCATCTTCGAATTTTATGACAGAACGTGTTACATGAAACGTCATTGGACGAGGCAAATAAAACAAGGAAATAAAGAATATTCTTGCCACCTGTTAAATTACATTATTCTTGTAGTAAACAACATTAAATTCTTGGAAAGTATATCTACTAATACTCGAGCATTAATATGTAATGCTTGTTGAAGATGCTATAAATTCTGCAATAGGAAGGAAAAGAAACTTTAAAGAATATATAAAGTTTTTTCATTTAAAAAATTCTTAGTATTGGTTGGATTTTAATACAATTAGTAATTATTGGCATGATTTTTATATCAACATGATTTTATATGTAAATTATATAATTATATAATATAATATATGTTTAAAATGTTTTTAGGTTTCATTAGTAAATAAACAATTTGAAAGATCAACTAAAATACTTTTATTTTAAATATATTATAGGCATACCGTATAACAAAACCAATAATAGGTTACAAAGAAATTTAAAATATAAATATGAAACTAATTTACATATTATGATTTCTATTTGAATGCTAATAAATATTTTCTTTTTTCTTTTTTTCTTCGTCATTTATGACTCATTTATTCGTCTAACCAATAAATAAACATTTTGACCAACATTAAGTTTATGCAAGTGATAAAGATTTCCTTCAATTGACATTAATAATCCACCAAATGATACAAAAACACCACTAAATAAATATGCAAATATAAAATGTAAAAGATAAATTAGAATAAAATCCTTTTTTGAAATATATCGAAAACAATCACAATAATAATTGCTTACATTCTTCCAGCTTGATATTCAACATATTTATATACTTTACCATACATAACGTATTCATAATTATCTGATAAATCTGGCTCATTCGAGACCTTTTCTCGCCAAGAAGCCTTTTGTGAATTGTCTTCACGTTCAATAACCATACTTTCTTCTATTTTTTCAGAATTCATTGCTAAACCTGTCGATAATAACAATTCTATCTTGTCACCAATATCCAAAGCATATAAATCTATATTAACATCTAGTATTAATTCTACATCACCTGATTCACTACGTCCTGTAAATCTTGATACTTGGATTTTATTTTCGGACAAAAGGATTGATTAATCTCAATTCTGGCTGTTTGATCGAAAAAGAATGAAATGGAGGATGAGAAACTAACCTCGATCAAATTTTTTACCATCTTTATCCATATCATTTATATTAAATTCTTCACTATATACAATATAACTTTTTTTATTATTCATCGTTATTATTTCAATCAAACTTTTTGTAAGTTACACGAACGTTGATCAAATATCATAAAAAAAACTAATATTAATATTAATTTATATTAATAAACTTCTCTTATATTTATATACTACACCCTTCCTCATATTTAAAAAATTAATGCCTTCATCACACCTTTGGGCACCTTCACTTGAACCGCGCACAATAATAAATTCCTGGGCATATAAACATGCTATAATAAATGAATGCATAAGTATAGGTAAGGAAGAAAGCGAATATGAATCGCAAGTATGTGTATATTTTATTTTTCCTTACTTATTACATTATAAATAAATAGATAAATAAATTGTTGTAATTGTTTTGCTGTTATTCTTTAATAATCGTGATATATTTTACTATAAAATAACAAATAATTAAATTGAACAAAATAAAAAGTTAAAAGCAATAAATGATAGAGGAAAAAGGTTACCTATCCCAGGAAAATATAGAATTAAAGCTGGTGAAGATGATTCAGTATGTTATTTTTTCTTGCCTTTTCTTCCAATTTTTATTTTTATTTATTTATACTCCATTTTTTATATATAGCGTGATGTACAGTGAACACAAACAGCAGATGATGTTCAAGATGATGATGAATCTACAGGAGAGGAAGAAGAGGAAGATAATGAGGATTTAGTAATGCATAATATAGATGATGATGACGACGACGACGATGATGATGACGACGATGATGATAATAATGATGATAACGATGACGATGACGATGATGATGTTGTAGATGGAGAAGCAGATGGTAATAGTATTGAGGACGTGGATGAAGATGAAGAAATGGTTCAAGATAATACCCACGATAATCCCAGTAACAGTCATAATAATCTTAATAATAGTCATAATAATGACAGTGATAGCGATGATGAAATCCATTTAGTGTTATAAATGATAAAGTAATAATTTAGAAAATCGTCGCCGTCTTCGCCACTGTTACTAAACAATAATAACGATTGAGGCAACAATTACAATTATTAACTAATTGGCTAATCAATGTTATTGGATTAAAGAGGAAGTTTTCAAAATATTTATTTTTATCATTTTTAAATTTTTTTGTAAATTAAAATGATAAATCATCATCATCCCATCATATTCAATAAACATGAAACTACAAGATTCTCATTT